AAAAAAAAAAAAAGATCACATGACAGGTGAATTTAATAATAATCAAAGGCATATACATAAAAGAATTCCACCAACATCTTTGAAAAGTATATCAATATTTAATAACATTTGTGTTTTTCATATTATGGTCTCTGTTCATAGACACTATAAAAAAGAAGGATCCTGATATCAAATCTCCAATATTACCACCTCAATGTTTTGAAAAATATATAAAGCATTAACTTTTGTGTATTCAGATACTTACACTGTAGGTATTCTACATGAGTATCCTTGAAAAAGTTCAAAATGCATTAAACTCATATTTATTGTTGATTGAGAGAAATTTGTAAGAAAGCATGGTTATCCAGCAAAACAGCATATTGTGAGCTATCAGCGCATAAAAATACCTGCTGGTTTATAGTTTTATGTTACATGTGTTTTATAATATGCATTACATGTTATTCTGTTCACTTGTACCAAAGTGCTTAGAGGGTTAATCGTGAGAAACATCAGCCAACTTAACTGCTTGCACTCCCAGCCTGACTTTTCAGTCCGCTTTTTTCTTCTTCTCCTTTACTGAATCACATTTCTCCACCCCTTGCACCCAACATGAAATTGTTGGTGTCTATTGACCCGTTTTCTGACAACCATGTAAAGAGATTAATGAGTCAATTTTACAGTATTTGTGTATTCCTTTTTTCTTTATTAAATTTTAGGACATTATTGTATAAATGGAATCACTGGCATGTATTATACTTATGTTGAGCAAATTAATAAATCATCTTAAATGGGAGGTCCTGAATGCATTCTTCAGACCATGGCCTTCAAACTGTACTTTATGAAAACTGGAGTCCGAGGAAGTGCTCTAGGGGCTACAGAGATCCTAGTCAGGAGAACAGTTCCAATTTATGGGTTTTTGTATTTTCAGACAGGGTCTCATTCTGTTGCTCACACTGGGGTGCAGTGGTGTCATCATAGCTCATTGCAACCTCAAATTCCCAGGCTCAAACAATCCTCCTGCCTCAGCCTCCCACATATGTGGGACTCTAGGCATGAGCCACAACATCCAGTTAATTTTTCTACTTTTTTGTGGAGACAGGTTCTCACTATGTTGGTCAGTCTGGTCTTTATACTCCTAGGCTCAAGCAATCTTCATTGCTCAGCCTTCCAGAGTTGTGGGGTTCTAAGTGTAAACCACCATGCTTGGCCCCAATTGATGTTTCTTAAATTGCCATTCCAAACAAAATTTTGTTGCTAAAATTGGTTCTTCTGCACTGAAGAAGAAGAAAAGAAAAACTACTTCTCTAGAATATTTCCTCTTATTGACTTGTGGTCACTTATGTTATAGCCCACAATTGATGAGAAAATTCAGCTGGTACCTAAAGCACAGCTAGGCAGCTGGGGAAAAGGCAGCAGTGGTGGAGCAAAGGCAAGTGAGACTGGTAAGTGTTAAATGTCCCTCCTCAAACATAGGTATTATCTGCTGACATCCATCTTACGACACATTCCTATAGTCAGTGAGTAATGATTTTAAGGAAAGCCCTCCCTAACTTTCCTTGGTGCCCCTCTCCTAACATAAATCTGTGGTTTCCTCCTCTTTAAGTGTCCATAGATAATTTTAAATACTAAAATATTTTTAGTTCAGTCAGGTTTTTAACACCTTGAATTTTTAGGTTCCCTTGCTACAAACTCAATATAGTTAGGGAAATTACTAAGACCCCAAACTAACAGGAAAACTATGCTGAGAAAAAAGAGTATTAATATGCAGAAATATTTAATCACAAAGAATTATAGAAGAATAAAGAGCTGGATTGAAACATTTTTCAAAATCTTTATCAAAAAATCAGATTTTGAGAGATTTGACCTTAGAACAGAAAATGTTTAGTTAGAACATCACAAATGTTCTTAATAGCTAAAGAAGCCCACTGGAAAGAAGGAAAACTTCAGTGTTAACCTTCTTCCTATATGTCCCTTCTACTAAATAATTTCAGCCTTTTTTTCTTTAAATGTTTGAAAATTTCATTACTCATTTAAACCCACATGCATATTTGTACATACATGAGATCACAGCATTTACATTGGTTAGTTTTGTTAATATACAGTGTTTTCTGGTTTTGCTTGTGTCCCTTCACCTCCTATGTACCTCTTCCACCCCTGTGCCTTAACCAAGATAATTACGTTTTTAAAGGAGCAAATGGTTGTAATGAATAAAGATTTCTAAACTCTCTTTTACACACAAATTCCCTATTTAACACTTTGCTTCTCAGAGGATGATAGCTGGACCAGGAGATTGCATCATCTGAGCTGATTAAAAATGCCTGGTCTCAAGGCTCAGCCAGAAAGGCAGGTGAATGAGTGCATCTTAGTCACCTGATTTGTATTTTTTTCTAAATCTCAACACCTGTAGATGCCTTAAGGTCAAGTGCTTCCAGTTTAAACAGATTCTCTGCTCTGCAACCTCCAGCACCCTCAGGGTCCATATCATCCACGCCTGTAGAGTTTGATTCCCGAAGGACCTTAACCAGGTGAGAAGCCTGTTTTTTATGTTTACTCAAGGTTGTCCTGCTTGATGTGAATGTCTGTCTGTCTCTCTTACTCACATATATCCACAAGGGTTATGATGATAATTTTTGTAGATGCATTCCTTTCATCCCTAAAATTGATTTCTTTTTTGGTACTTATGTATAAAGGCAGAAGGTGCTGAGTGGAGAGGGCATGTGCTGTCAGAAAGGCATATTTGACTAGATAGGATTCTGATACACAGTGAATGAATAAATGACATTCCTTTTTTTTTTTGAGACTTGAGTCTCATTTTGTTGCCCTTGGTAGTGGGCTGTGCACAGCAACCTCAAAACTCTTAGGCTCAAGTGAGTCTCTTGCCTTAGCCTCCCAAGTAGCTGGGACTACAGGTGCTCACCATGGTGCCTGGCTGATTTTTTCAGAGACAAGGTCTTGTCTGGCTTAGGCTGGTCTTGAACTCCTGAGCTCAGGCAATCCACCTGCCTCAGCCTCCCCGAGTGCTAAGCTTACAGGCGTGAGCCACCTCACCAGGCCTTGATTTCTGTCTTTAATCTTCACATGCTATAATTGCTAAGATAGAAACATAACTGGATGGTGGATGTCAGATAGGGAAGGAAAGGGCTCCTTAAAAAGGCCAGGCCTGGGGTGGATTGCCTGAGTTCAGGAATTCAAGACCAGCCTGAACAAGAGTGAGACCCCATCTCTACTAAAAATAGCAAAAATAGCCAGGCATTGTGGTGGGCACCTATAGTCCCAACTACTTGGGAGGCTGAGGCAAGAGGATTGCTTGAACCCAAGAGTCTATGAGCTATGATGATGCCATGGCACTCTACCAAGGGTGACAAAGTGAGACTTTTGTCTCAAAAAAAAACAAAAACAAAAATTTTTTTTTTAAAATTAAAAATGAGAGGCCAGGCATAGTGGTGCACGCCTATAATCCTAGCACTTTGGGAGGCTGAGGAGGGTGTATTGCCTGAGCTTATGAGTTTAAGATCAACCTAAGCCAGAGTGAAACCTTGACTCTCTTCAAGCTAATGCCCCGCCTTGGACTCTCCAATGTGACACACTCATACATTTCTCTGTCACACTGTTTTTCAAGTCATGTTTGAGGTTGTCTTTCAGTTTTCACTAATCTCTGTATTCGGCCATCTTTCCACTTTCACTTTTGTAGTATTGGTATAGTGAAGTATTCTGTTGGCTTAGAATGAATGACGATCTGCTGCAACAGAGAATTAAGGGTTTTTGTTTTAGGGGTGGGGGGCTGTATTTCAGGTTAACCAAACAATTAGGTTACAGTGTTTGCATTTGTTATGTAAAGTCCGTGTTGTAGTTGTGTCCCCCATACACCCAGGAGGTGTGTCCCACACCCTTACATTGTGCCCATTAGGTGGGAGCACACCCATTCCCCTCCCACTCCCTCCTACCCCCTCCCCCCACTTGAATTGAGTTTTTCTCTTGGCACGGGCATATATTAATTGGTCTACTGGATGCATATTAGTATTGAATATATTGATATTTTTCTTTCTTTCTTTTTTTTTTTTTGAGACAGACTCTGTTGTTCCTGGTCAATTGCTGTAGTGTCATCATAGCTCACTAAAACCTCAAAATCCTAGATTCAAGCAATCCTTCTGCCTTGGCCTCCCAAGTAGTTGGGACTAATGGCACCTGCCATAATGTCTGGCTGATTTTTCTATTTTTAGTAGAGACGGAGTCTCACTCCTGTTCTGGTTGTCTCAAACTCCTGAGCTCAAGCATTCCTCCCACCTCAGTCTCCTAGAATTATAGGCATGAGGTACTACAGCTGGCCAAGAATAAAATTTTTGATATAAGCACAATACTTAAATTTGTTTAAGCTCTCAAATTTTTTTTTATTATTGTAATAAGTTTGATTAGGTAGACTTTCTAAACTATGTTACTTATTCCCCTGGCTTCTGAAACAAAGGATACTTAGCACAAGTCAACTTTTCATGATTATTGGCATTGAGCATCATTTATATTATGGAGATATTTGTGGCTCTTTGCCCTGCCTTAAATTTCCCCAATGGTTGTACTTTTTAAGTACTTGTACATATTATTTCATAGTGGTTAGACCATTGTCCTGCCTCTGAGTCTTTCTCTTCTAATTTGTTGCCTTAAACTGCTGTGGGCCAAGGAATTATTTGCCCAGCTTACTGTAATTATGTAAATGAAAGAAGACTGAATAGGAACATCTCTATTAAAAATGAATAAAATTTACTTGTACCCTCATTAATCTGAAGTTTAAAAAAAATTAAAAATGAACAAAGTATATAAATTTGTCCTATGAAAGACTAGTTCTACTTTATTCTTAAATATTTTCCAGATATTTGAAGTTTGTGTATAAGGAATCATTGTGTAAGGGCCAGGCACAGTGAATAATGCCTATAATCTTAGCACTCTGGGAGGCTGAGGCAGGTGGATTGCCTGAGCTCACAGGTTAGGGCCTGAGCCAGACGAGATGTTGTCTCTCATGCTGGGCATTGTGGCAGGCGCCTGTAGTCCCAACTGCTCTGGAGGATGAGGCAAGAGAATCGCTTAAGCCCAAGAGTTGGAGGTTGCAATGAGCTGTGAGCTATGAGCTATGTCTACCAAGGCTGACATAGTGAGACTCTGTCTCAAAAAAAGAAAAAGCAATCATTGTGTAAGTTCCAAAAAAAAAAGATACCATCTTCTCATGTTATTTGTTTCTCTTTCATTCATTTGGCTCATACTTTTATCACTGTCTTTTTTTTTTCTTAAAGTTTTTTTAATCTAAAATAAGGAATTACAACTAACATTTAAAAATTTTAAGCAGCATTTCTTTTACTATTACAGGAGAAAGTTAAAACATCTTAATATTCTGATGATTTGCTTATGTCTATGAATAACGGTACTTGTAAATAGAATTGGTGCCTCACATATCTAATGTTATCTATGAAATATTTTGTATACTTTTAGAAAGTCAGTGTTATAATTTGAGTATAGGGTTATCTTTCTTTTGAAAATTGTTATTTTGTCTTTTAAGTCGTGGAAGCATGGGCAGGGAGAAGAATGACAAGCCCCTTCCGTCGGCAGCCGCTCGTCCAAACACTTTCATGCGGGGCAGCAGCAGTAAGGACTTGTTAGACAATCAGTCTCAAGAAGAGCAGCGGAGGGAGATGCTGGAGACTGTGAAACAGCTCACGGGAGGCATTGATGTGGAGAGAGACAGCACAGACGCCGAGCGAAGCAAAACAAGGGAGTCAGGTAAGAGGCTCTTGAGATGATAGAGACAAAGATTTGGGGCCTTAAATTTGGAAGGAAAAAGCCAAGGGAGACTTTGTAGCTAGGTAGGTTTCAGAATCAACACAAGATAGCAGTACATGTACTTATCACCTTAGAAGGACAGCTTCATGTTTTTTGGTTTGTTTTTTGAGACAGAGTCTCATTATATTGCCCTTGGTAGAGTGCTGTAGTGTCACAGCTCACAGCAATCTCCAACTCTTGAGCTTAAGTAGTTCTCTTGCTTCAGCCTCCCAAGTGGAGCTACAGGCACCCACAACGCCTGGCTATTTTTTGGTTGCATTTGTCATTGTTTAGCAGCCTGGGCTGGGCTTGAACCCACCAGCTTCTGTGTATGTGGCCGGCACCCTACTCGCTGAGCTATAGGCGCCGAGCCAACTTCATGGCTTTTGTAACATAGTTCTCATACCCTACGTATGCCTTTCCTCAGCAATTTATAAATTTTCTCATTTCTGTATTAAATGATGATAAGGTCCCTTGGTGTATATTAAGCAATCTGAGTTTCTTACAAGACCCCTCAGCATCTCACACTGTGCATTGCTGTTAACGTGCACATGCTGTAGAGAGCCCCTCAAATGGGGAAACATCACACTATTGAACTACTCTAAGAAAAACCACAGAGAAGGTAGTAGATCATCTTCATCTTCTCTGTCAATCTGTGTTCTTGTGGGTACTTTGCATGTACATATTTATAGGACCTGCTTAGATAATGCTCTAAAAATTGCCTCATGTATTTCAGCTATATATGTTTGTTTCCTCATCCCTTTTTTTCTTTTCTTTTTTTTTTTTTTTTTTTG